ATTAGACGTCCCACATCTGGTTAAATCTTTCTCTTGGCTAAAGGAGTTGTCTTCTGAAAGTTTTCTAAACAGACTTTAGTGGCTCCCTCCACCGTGGCAGTAGAGTTTGTGGCTTGCTTTGAGGAATCAAATCATGCAATTTGGCTGCAGAACTTTGTCACAAGCCTATACATCGTTGGGAGCATCGAAAGGCCTTTGAAAGTTTATTATGATGATAGTGCGACTATGCTCTACTCAAACAATAATATGAGTTCTACAAAATCAAATTTTTTTAATATTAAGTATCTTATTATGAAAGAAAGAGTTCAAGAGAAACAAATTTTGATAAAACATTCTGGAACAGACTTAATGCTAACTGATCCACTAAGCAAATGTTTAGCACCTAAGACTTTTCATGGGCATGTTGCTCATATGGGTATTGGTTTTGAAACCGTCTTATATTAGTGGGAGTTTTTTTCCTTATTGTTTCTATGTTATATGCTTTGGTTTTATTTTGGTACAAACTTTATGTCATGTTTGATTTTTTGCAGAAATAAAAAAAAATTATGAGGTGTTATTTTCGTAACAGTATCAAGTTTTTTTGTTATGTGCAAATATTGTGATTTTGAATTGCACCTAAGAAACATCAATTTGATCTCACTAAAGACTTCAATAGGACCAGTTGAAAATATGCATGATTTAGAAATCACATTGCATTAAATTTTCATGCCACTCATCCATATCAATATATGTCATCAAGTACGTTGATGTGGTGGTCGTCGGAGTTCTGTCATGTTACATGTCAGTGACGACAGCCGCGATGGTCCCATATTAATGTATGAGGTGAACCATCTTGTAAAGTTGAAATCTAAAGATAAATAGCATTCAGGTGCACGCCTAAAGAATTGTGATATAATTATTAAGATATATTGGCCAAGTGGGAGATTGTTGGAATATTTTTAATAATTCTGTATTATATTAATATTCCAATAATTATGTGGGCAAATATATTTATTTAATTATATTAATTATTTTATCAATTAAGTGATCAAATAAATTTAAAAGGCTGATTAGATTTTATTTAGAAATTATTTAATTAATTAAATTTTAGATATGGCCTCAAATATAAGTGGATGTCAGGATGACCCATTTGGGAATAATAGGAACCTTAATTGACCATCACACTATATATAGGCTATGATCCCTAATATACGGTATATAAGAAAATTATCTCTTCTCCCCATCTGAAGAGAGTTCGAGGCATAAGGTGTACCGGTTGAGGAAGAACCACAAAAGCCATCAACTTCTGGATTTTAGGATTATCGTCAAAGGAATTTTTCTCAATGGATCCAAGTATTCTAAAATCAATTTATGAATCCCTTAATTTTGTACATGCTTGATTTCCACGCCTAAGTATATTATAATTTCCATACTTACTGCATATTCTGTGATCTTCACTAGGGATAGTGAGACCTCAAAGTGATGGTTCCCTCACTTCAAGGAAATCCTTATCCAGACTATGTTCTTTAGCAAAAACAGACATAATGGAAGGATATATGGAATTTTTCCCTGGGGACGTTGGATTCGACACACTTCCTTTCATGTTCTTCCGTAATTTTTTAGTCATACCACACTAACATTCTCAAGTTCAAGAAGATAAACTTTCAAATGAGAATAGAAGGTAACCACTTAATAACGAAGAAATAAACATATGAAAGAAAATGGCTCTAGTTCTTCCTATTTTTGTATATTGGCAATAAAGAGAAAAAATGTCCAAACAACAATCACGTTTTTCAATGTAATACTTAAGTATTTCAGTTTTTAAGGATAATCATAATGAGGCCTCCAAATAGACGTTTGATTTTCCAAACACCAAAAGCACAAAGAAGGGTGGTCGGGGATCAGAGGCAAAATTCTTCAAACCCTCAACTCGATATACATACCCGAGGACTTGGGGGGCATATATTTCAGGTCAACCATATCTCCCTCAGACCGACCATCAACCCCAGGCTGAAACCCATCAACCTATTACACCGTTTTATTTCTAAAAACTTCTCCTTACCACATAACTATTATACACCACATTGTAGAAGATCTAAGCATCAGACGCATCTAACGATCCACCACATTCCATGTTAGAAAGATAACAATATCTTTATTCTTTCCCTTATATAGAGAACGACGTCATTTCATGTAACAGGTTTCAAACATAACTTGAATATTCTATAATCTTTCACATAATAACTTAGAACGTTGTAGTGTTAATTTTATAAATACACTCCCACTTCACTACTTCAGAAACCTTACTCTATCGTAACTTCTACATCAGACACCTTACTCTGCTGTAGGTAGCTTCCACACACATAAAATTAATATAGTAACTACTTTTTGAATTACTAGTAACTTGCATAAAGAATAATTATTTATGTCTATCACATTCTCTAATTTTGAATAAATTAATTCATTAAAATATGTGCTGGATGGTTTGTTTTGTCTATCTACACGTAACATGCATAAGTTTAAGGAATCCAAAGTTTTTCAAATTTTATACTATCAGTTTATTTTTCTTGATAACATGGAACTCGTCATAGTTAAGTAATTTCATTAAAAATAGTAATAAATTGTAAGTTTTGCTGTTAGATTCTCCTTAAAAACATCTTAATTCCTCTCAAAGAAACTAAAATCAAAACTAAAAAATTAAGTTTAGTTTTTCCTGTCAATCTCACAACTAATCTCTTTTCTATTAAGTTTTTATATTCCACCAACCCCTTTCCTATTATTAAAATATTCGAAAGTCAAAATTCCACCTAAAGAAATTACTGATCTAATAAATTTTTTATAAAAATGATAAATGTCAAGATATAAAATCATAGATTTAAAATTTCTGTAAGAGTAATAATATTGAAAAGTACTGAACATTAAGTTCCTTTGTAACAGAATCTAAATAAAAATAAATGTATTTTTTCAATCAAATTCATATGTTTTTAATTCATTTTTAAAATTTTGTTACTCATGAAGCATTTAAAAAATTCAATTATATTACTAACATTGACTCCACTTGGTAAGTTGGTAACCCATAATATAAACTTACATGAGACTAATCACCAAGAATACAATCAATTATCTTTTCACATAATTAAAGTATCTTAGAATTAATCAATTTTAAAAAGAAAAAGAAATTGGAGAGAGTAAAAGTAAGGTTACTTATGATGCATTACCATTGTTAGTAATAAAAAAGAATTAAGAAAGAAAAGGTGGTAGAATAGAATACAAGAGTGTGTTATGTCTGTGAGTCATGGTTTTGTTTGATATGTCCTGTCAAGTAAATGCTGCCAGGCTAGCATCTTGTACATGATTGGTGTGGGTCCCACCATTCCTCTGTTTCTACTCTGTCAATCCACATGCTCCACGGTCCCATTCTCTTCTTCTATTCTAATCTCTCTGCCCCATTCACTCCATAAACTTGTTATCATTGTTTTTTATCATCTCACTCTAAATTAAATCTTGAATATAATTTAACTGAGTTTGCGAATAAATGAGAAATATTCTTGTATGTCATCTTTGGGCCGGCTGGCACTGCCAGCAAGACATTGATTAAAGCTTTATCATTTGGCATGTCATAAGTCATATGTTCTCACCACTAATGAGAACATTACAAATGTAAAAAGAACAATAACGTTGTTTTTTTGATCATGTGTTTTCTAGCATATACGAAGAGAAAAAACACACATAAATAAGTCTAGTAATAATGTAATAATTGTCTGACATGTAAAAAAACAGCCAACACTATGCAGCCAGCCACAATCTATGAAGCCGTTTAAAACGATTTTGTCGGCGAAAGACGTTACTAATCATTTTCATTAACAGCTTCAATCACCCATTAGTGCTAATTAATTTATTCTTTTCGTGTCCTTTTCTTCTTCCATATACAGTTTTTGTTTCTTTTTTTTATTAATATCATTAGTCCTATTTTAACAAAATTAATTTCTCGGCTGAAAAAAATCATTAATTTCTAAAATCGGTAAACATACTCCTAACACATATTTTAAGTATTTTGTTATTGTGCGACATATTTTAAGTATTTTGTTATTATGCGACTAAGAGCTGAATTATCTTAACATAATATATATTTTAAAGAGTAATACTAACTTGTGTTCTAAAAGTAAAAATTGAGAAACACATTTATAAAAAATTTATATCGAAAACATAACAAAAAGATTAAACTTTTTATTTTGATTAAAAATATTGCATAATTTTTAAAATATTATTTTTACTTTTAATTTTTAACTTATACTCCTAAGACACAAGTTAGCATTATCCAATTTTAAATATTTTATTTATATTAAAAAATTAAAGTTTTAAATTTGTTAAATAATTAATATATTTGATTTAAAATAGAGTTCATATGATTTTTAATTATAAATAGATACAAATATAATATTAAATTAATTTCTTTTTTATATTTCCCTCTCTAAATATTTCTAATATCTCTTAATTATTGAGTTAGAAAAATTAGTTTAGTAATTTTCTTATAAAATTAATACAATTATATTTTGATATCATCAATTAATTGTCCACATCATTAACTTATTGAAAAATGGTAAAAAAATAAATAAATAAATTTGAAAATGGTTAAAAATAATTCAAAATATTAATTAATTAAAAATAACATTAAATGAAATACATAATAATTATATAGTTGAAATAAAAAAGCTGTCTTTTTTATGTTAAACATTTTAATTCCTCTTTTAATAAATAAAATTTGTTACCAAATATTTGTACATATATGAAAGGACCATTAACCTTCTTCCTTTGCTGTCATTTTTACATATGGGTAGATTAATTCTTATTCTTAGTATAATAATACTCTCAAAAACTGCATAAAGCTGTTTCTTTTCCTCTTCTTCTTCCTTCTTTTCTCTCTCTGCAATTTTTTTTTGGTTACTTAATTTTCGTTGGCACTAGCGCTAGTTCTTGTCTTCTTTAGTCTCTGACCCTTTTGCCAGCTTTGACCTTAGAAGATGCTTGTAAGTACGTTTCTCTCTGAGCTTCATTTTTGGTTTATGTTTTCTTTGCCTTTTGTGTTTTTTTTAACCTTAAACTTGTTTGGTTCCAAATCTTGGACTATGTTGTCTTGCTTTTGTTTTTCATCCTAAGAAGTAAAAGGGGTTCTTCAAGATTTGATCTTTGGTTGGATTTTGTGTGTTTTAGTCAAAGTTTGTTTGTTTTGTTCATATGGGTCGTGCTGGAATTCAATGTACGAGATTTGTTCTTTTGGGGTGTTTTGTTTCTTTTACTAGGTTTGTTTATGGCAATGGTAATTCTTGTCCATGGTGTGATTTTCATGGAATTATGTTCAATTTTGATCTGAGAAATTGATCTGATTTGATTTGAATTCAGTTCGAGCATGAATTGCTAGTACTTTAGGTTTTTAATTTTGAAGTGAATTTGTTGCTTCATAGATTTTGCTTGAATTTCGATCTTGTTCTTAATCTGAGAAATTTTCTGGTGATTAATTTGTTTGTGACTTTTTTCAGGTGGCATTGCTCTTGCTTTTGGCATTGAGCAATGCCTCTAAGGTTTATGGAGATTTCGAGCAGTGTGGTTTGAATCCGAAATTGGATCCTAGACCACATACTGTCTCTATTTTGGAGTTCGGTGCGGTTGGTGATGGTAAAACACTGAATACACTTGCGTTACAGAATGCAATTTTCTATGTCAAGTCATTCGCTGATAAGGGCGGTGCTCAGCTCTATGTGCCACCGGGAAAGTGGCTCACCGGAAGTTTCAATCTTACCAGCCACCTCACCCTCTTTTTAGAGAAGGGCGCTGTTATTATTGGATCTCAGGTACTTTCACATCTTGCTTAATCGCTGTTGTCGCGCGGTGTGGTATTTAGTACAAAAAGTTCTCGAATAGCGGCTAGTGCTGTAGGGCTGTAGAATTTGAATAAATCATCATTTTCTGTGATCTGTGATTATAGGATCCATCGCATTGGGATGTTGTTGAACCTTTACCTTCGTATGGTCGAGGGAAAGATGTTCCTGAAGGAAGATACAAGAGTTTAATCAACGGTTACAAGTTGGAGGATGTGGTTATAACAGGTTTTTATCCGTCTATTCTTCTCGATTCTAAGATTCTTCTAGCAAGTTTTTCATATGGTTCTGTTTCAGGATTTAATTTTTTGTATTTTCATATAACTTCACTAGGAAATAACGGAACCATTGACGGCATGGGAATGGTTTGGTGGGAATGGTACAATTCTCATTCGCTTAACCATAGTCGTCCTCATTTGGTTGAAATTATATCATCCGATTCTGTCGTAGTTTCAAATCTTACATTCTTGAATGCTCCGGCATATAGCATTCACCCAGTTTATTGCAGGTATATAATTTTCTACTTCTTCTTGATACTTATTTTGTCAAAAGAATTAATATTGATACGGTTCCGTTTTAATGTTATGCAGCAATGTACATATTCAAAATGTTTCAATCTCCACTCCACCAGAATCCCCCTATACCGCCGGTATAGTACCAGGTTTGTAGCATGCTATTAACTCAATTTTCTATCCTCGTTATGAAAATGGTGATACCATGTCGTATTGACACTTCAGGTCAAAGACTTGTCTAGTGTCTAAGGCGTGTCTGGTTCACACTAACATGATAGACACACGTGGTTACATTCAACTATATCACATTTTCAAATTATTATCAGGGTCAACGTTTCACTGTTGTGTGTTGTGTCTGTGTTTGTGTCGGTGTTTCATAGATTGCACGCCAAATATCAATAGCTTACCGAACTTTGGTGAGTGTCATTTATCTAATGTTTGTGCACTTCATGTTTTCAGATTCTTCCGATAATGTTTGTATAGAAGATTGTAATGTATCCATTGGATATGATGCAATATCTCTCAAAAGTGGTTGGGATCAGTACGGCATTACCTATGGAAGACCGGCCAAGAAAATACACATAAGAAGGGTTCATCTTCACGCATTTTCCGGCTCTGCTATTTCATTCGGTACTGAAATGTCCGGCGGAATTTCAAATGTTCTAATCGATCATGTTCACATTGTTAACTCAAATAGCGGCATCGAGTTCAGAACAGTCAAAGGAAGAGGCGGTTACATAAAACAAATCGCTATATCCAACATCGAAATGGAAAATGTTTATACAGCAATTTCAGCCAAAGGTAATTGTGGTTCTCATCCCGACGACAAATTCGATCCAAAAGCACTTCCACTTTTGAATCACATTACTCTGAAGGATATTATCGGAACAAATATCACAATTGCTGGAAACTTTAGCGGCATAGAAGAATCACCCTTCACCGATATCTGCCTTTCAAACATAACATTGTCCACCAATTCGGTTTCTTCCATTACATGGGAATGTTCAAATGTCTCCGGATTTTCAGACTCAGTGCTCCCTAAACCTTGTCAAGAACTCGATAACCCTTCAAACTCTTCCTCCTCGTTGTGTTTCTATCTCATGAGTCTCGGTGAGAAAAATTCTGCAGAGCTTTAATAAATCATTCTGAAAACACCGAATTTGCCACAAGTGGTTGGTGCGCGCAGTGTTGTAAATTCTGAAGTACCGAGTTCAATTTCTGCTAAAAAAAATGAAAAAGTGAAACGCGATTTTCCGTCGGATAATAGTCTACATTCTTTCCAAAATAAGACAGTTCATTTTGTTTCTTCCATTGCTTAGATTTGAATTCTCTTGCATATTCCCAAATAGGTCATTATTTGTACAGCTTCATTTCTATTTCTTCATTCATGTGTAATGAAATTTTGGTAGTGCCTTTTACAGAAAGGACTCAAAATGTGATAGTTTACATTTTTGCATTAGTTTCATTGTTATTTAATTTCACTGTAAAGCATGTAGTGGATTTGGTGATACTTCAATTAAAGAAAGTTCAATTTTAAGTAATATTAGTTTCATTGTTATCTATTTCTTTGATGTGATGCTATTATATCTATAATCTTAAATTACTATTTTTTCAATGAGTCATCAAATATTATTGCATTTTTTTGTTTTGTTTTGCTGTATATCTATTGAATGTGACAGTCAATAAAAGGGACATGATACCAATATATTGAATTTAGGTGGCTTGGAATTTTGCCATCTAGTATAATCAATATATCATGTGAAAAGCACATTATATCAAATTATTATAAGTGAATAATAATTGTGGTAGATATATTTGGATGTATTTTCTTGAGGAGGAATTGTCTAATTTTCAATTTCTAGTTTTTATGACTTTTTTATCCTTCTCTTAAACCAACATTCAATCTCATTCAACATTTTTATTTTAATTATGATCATCTCTTCTAAATAAGTAAAGTTATAAAAAAGTTACATTTTCATCTTTAAATCTTAAACTCTAAATTATACATGTAAGAGTGTGTTTGATTGCAAGTTGAGCAAATTTCAACAAATGTTCAAATCCTCAAATGTGATTCAATGGTTTATAAAGATGTTTGGGTCTTAATTTAGAAAGTGATTCAGGTCAACAAAAATTGATATAACATTTTCTATGTTTTGCTTTATGTAATCAGCGTGGACTTTAGGTTGGATACTAGCAACACCATTTATCTCTTGGTTAGAGAAGAAAGAAAAATTGGGCTTCTAAACCCAATTTTTTTTTTTTTTGGAAGATTATCAATCTATCACTCAATAATTTTGGGATTCAGTTTTCAATTTTGATCTTTTCTGTAATAATCATTTAGGTAGTTTAATCTTGCTGAAATTAATCTGCCACACTTCACTTATACCTCACATCCCCCAATTTGTATGAAAAGACAAAACTAATCCTTATTCTTTTATTTTTCAAATTTCAGAGGCAATATTGGATATTTCAAAACAAGTGAGTGTACCATAGAAATTCTTAAATTTACGGTATTTTGTATCGAAAATTTTGAAATTTCAGGTATTTTCTATCTGAAACTTCATAATTTTCGGTATTTTCTACCAAAAATTTTAAAATTTCCGATACAGAACCCAATTCTTTTTACCGGAAATTTCAAAATTTTTAGTTAAGAAAATCTAGTTTTGTACCGTAAATTTTTATAAAAATTTAATTTTATACCAAAAATTAAATTTTCGATAATTCTAAAAATTTAGTTTTATATCGAAAATTTAGAAATTTCCAGTAGGTGCCATTATTTTTTTATCTAATATTTAGTTTTTTTCTTCTTTTGCACGGAAATTTAGAAGCTGAAACGATACTATTGCAGGAAGAGCTGCAGATCTAGCATTAGATCAGGGTAGGGCTGGCAGGACTGCTGATGCTGAGTCTTCCCACCTACGTGCAGGATGAGTGGTCCCCACCGGTTCACACCGGAAGCGGATGGCTGAGAGAGGTTTTTTTTGGGCACCTCGTTTCACTCTACGTCGACCATTCGATCAGCAGAGCATGCTACAAATGAGGTGTTGTCAGATGTTCAAGTAGTTGATCCCGTTGTTGAGCAGGTGGTTGAGCCGGTGGTTGCTCAGGTGGTTGACCCAGTTGTTTAGGAGGTTGCTGAGGAGGTAATACCAGATGTTGTTGTTGGTGAGTCGGGCCCATCAGTTACTGCTGACACGGAGGTTACGGCTCCTTCGATTGAGCCCTATGTTCACACTGATGGAGGATTCTCAAGTGAACCCATTGACTGGTTTGTACTTACAGAGTATGTTGAGCACGTGGCCTTACGATAATGGTAGGGCAATGTATATGTCTTTAATGTTTAGTTTAAATTTTTGTTTATATATGACTGTCACAAGAGATATCAACTAATTTGTTTATATTTTGTTGTCACATGAGCGACCCACATAAAGGTGACGTTGCATGTAACGCTCCAAAATAATTAGAATATTTATTTAATTTATTTATTATAAATATTCGTGATTTTCGGTGAATCTTGGTGAAATATTTTGATGTCTGATGATTTGTGTTTGGGGTATTGTTGATGTTAAGAGGGTGTTGAGGATATTTAGAAGTATATGATTTATTAGAATTATTTTGATAATAATAATAGTGGTAAAGTTGGGTAAAATAAGTGAGAATAAAGTTGGAAAATCATATTAAGGGTCCAAAGGTTAGAATGACATAAAGGAAAATAGAGAAGTGAAGAATTCATTCTGAACAATCGTGTTTTGGAGAGCGACTCTGAGGAAAGGAAGAGGAGGAAGCTAAGGCTCAGAAATATTTTGGAAGAACTCAAGAAGAGGATCGAAATCGAATTGTCTAAGGTATGGGGAGTATCATTTGTCATTATAATTGATATAGGGGTAGATGTATGTAGATAGTTGGGGAGTTTGAGAAACATGATGAGATTATGATGAAATTGGGGTTTTAAGTTGTATGAGATGGTATGTATGAAACCTATTATGATGTGTTGATTGTTTTGGGAATTATGAGAAATTTTGGACTGATTGGTACCAGAATTGCAAGGAGAATTGGGACTCAACTGTGCAGAATCGCAACTGAGAAGGTGCAGGTTCACGCAATTTCGCCAGGCGAATTGACCGGTTCGCTGGATGAAGCGATTTTGCCCCCAGCCCCGCCAGGCGAAAGTGGGAGCGAGAAGAGGGTGGAAAATGAGTGCTCCTAGTTTTTGTACGAAGGAGAGAATTCACCCCTGCTTCGTCAGGCGAAACCCAGGCGAGCGAGCTGCTTTGTCGAGCGAACACCAGGCGGGCAGGATCTACGTGTTTTCTTTTCTTTTCTTTATTTTATGTTGTTTGGTGTCTTGTGGTCTATATGCTTTGAGTAATTGATGTGTTATATTTTGATGATTATAACATGATGATTTGTGATGTATAATAATGATGCAATACTATGATGTTTTGATGAATTTTCATGAATGATGATGCAACTTTGAAGATCTTGTGATGATGATGATTATGATGTTTTGCATCATGCATTCATAGCATGTTAGGACTTGGGTCCAGTGACGATGTTAGGAATATGGTCCAGTGGTGGCTTTAATCCCATTGTGTGGATTGGGGTGTTTATGACGTGCTCCGATTCTTATGTAGAATCGATCCTATTGGTGGGGATCTTTGGAGGGTGATGGCCCAGTGTCCATCAACGTGTTGATTTGGTACAACATGCATGAGTCTATGTTGTTGTATTTCATATTATGTGGCATTACATCTATGTGAATGACTGTTATTATTGATGAGGTGATTCTAAAATGATGTGTGATGATGTTATGACTTAAGTGATGCTTTGGTGATGAGTTGTTGATTTGATGACCTTATGAACGAAGACGTATATATGATACCATGACATGAATGTGTGAGTTAATATTTGGAAAATAAACGAACTGTTACTGAAAAGATCGGATATGCGATAAGCCAAGATGGAATATCGAATCCAATGAGAAAATGAATCAATATTTTGAAAGCTAATCAACACAATTAGAATCACTTAAGTTTGTACAATTTCCAATGGCTTGAAAAAAATTAAACTCAATTTGACAAAAGGACCAATAGTTTGTGTGTGGTCAATTCGTCGAACACTTGGTGTGCAAAACACCCCAAGTGGAATTCTCTAAGTAATGGTAATGCATAATTTTTCCAATTACAATCAAAATGATTGTAATGAGATTTCAAAACACTTTTCAGCACTACACTACACCAAAATTTTATCGAACAAATGATAATGCACAAACGTGAATAATTCAGAAATAGAGAAATAGAGAAAGAGACAACAACACTGAATTTGTTTAGATAGTTCACCTTTCATCCTCGCTTAGGGTACGTCTACCCCCAATTCTAGAAATATAATTGATATATATATATATATATATATATATATATATATATATATATATATATATATATATATATATATATATATATATATATATATATATATATATATATATATGTATATATATATATATATATATATATATATATATATATATATATATATATATATATATATATATATATATATATATATATATATATATATATATATTATCTTGTTGCAAACGTTTGTACAAGAGAAGAAATAGTCAACATACACTCAAGCCTAACTGTTAATGTTAATACTATATCTTCTCTCCCCTTGATTCAAGTCGAATCAAGTGCCTCAAACGTGTTGAATAAACCTGCGATTCCAGCTACCCGGCTGATATCAATCACACACAGTTCAAACCCAAATCTTTCTTCCACAATCCTCCGATAACCGCTACTAGATTGAACAAACTACCCATTCTTCAATCACCTTCGCTCGGCTGAATCTGTAAAGAAATTATCTGTGTAAAAACCCCCAAAACCTCAAGATTCTTTGAGGACAAAACCTGAAATTTTTACGCAAATAACCCAATTTTTCAAAAAAAATCCCAAAATACCCCACTTTTCAAAAATATTCCCAAAGTACCCCAGTTAGGGTTTGGACTTACGCAAGGGCACCAATTCAATTGGCGACCCTTTGTTAAGGGCATAAGGGTGTTGCCAATTAGTCTGGAGACACCTCATGCATTCTCCAATTCAATTGGCGACTTGGTTATGTACTTTAAAGGGTG